TACAATGGTCAAGACATGGAAACAATCTAAGTGTCCATTGATGGATAAATGGATAAAGAATTTGTGAGATACATACACACATACATATATACATACATATGTATATATAAAATGGAATATTAATCTATTAAAAATGAGAAAATCCTACCATTTGTGACAACATAGATGGACTTTAAAGGCATTATGTTAAGCAAAATAATCTCAGGAAAAGACAAATATTATATGATATTACTTGTATGTGGAATCTAAAAAACAAAAAGTTCATAGAAAAGGAGATCAGACTTGTGCTTACAAGAGGTGGAGGGTGGAGAGGAAGGGGATTAGAGGAAGGTGATCAAAATGTACAAACTTCCAGGGCTCCTGGCTGGCTTAGTTGGTAGAACATGCAACTCTCAATCTTGGGGTTGTAAGTTTGAGCCCCATGTTGGGTGTAGGGATTACTTAAAAATAAAATCTTTAAAAAAAAAAAAGATAAAAATTTCCAGTTATAAGATAAGTACTAAGGATGTAATGTACATCATGGGGACTACTGCTGGAGGATATATAGGAAAGTTAAGAGGATACTGATCCTGAGAGTTCTCATCACAAGGAGAATTTTTTTTTTTTACTTTTTATTGTATATATGAGATGATGGATATTAGCTAAACCTATTGTGGTAATCCTTCACAATATTTGTGAATCAGACCATCATGCTGTATGCCTTAAACTTACACAGTGATGATTGTCAGTTATTTCTCAATAAAACTGGGGGGGGGTTGGGGGGACTCAGATTACAATGGAAAAAATCCAATAATTAAAAATAGTTCCTTCCAATTCGGACATAATGAAGTGAAAAGGGTAATATAAATATAAAATGCACATATATGGGAAAACTAAACCTATTAAAATATTAGGAATATAAAATAAGCAGATTATTGAAAAGTAGAATAATTCAGAATATTCAGAGTCAGTGCCCCCAGAAACAAAAATGCAATATAAAATTATAATATATTAGTACAAAAGTCATTCATAGTCATCTGTATTTGTTAATGTGCGGGGGGGTGGGAAATAAAATATTTAAAGTAACTTAGTGCCTTTGTTTAGGAGAGTGAATCCTATGCACGCACACACACACACACACACACACAAATGTAGAAAGGCATAAAAGAAAATACACTTTCTATTGTTTTATAAGGAAACAGCCTATCCATACCAATAAAATGTAGAAGGAGGAGGGAGGGGAAGGAATCCGTTATTCACCCTGGGGAGATGCATCAGTTCTTTGGGATCAGTTGAGTTTTTCTATAAATTAACTTATTCAGGGCACTCCTGCAAAGGCCCTTTTAGATCCAAAGATTAAATAATTTAAACAAAAAATGAAGATAGTAATTTGTCTTTAACCCTTCCGATGAAGCACAAGTAAATTTAAGGCACTTCTCTGAGAACTGACAAAATGTGAAACCATCCGTAGAACAAATAATGCATAACTACTTATGGCAGTTCTTCCTATTTTTACTTCTGTGTTGGAAAAGGTTTTGGTTATATAACATAATAAAAATAAATCAGACCGACATGATAATATTAAAGTGAGAGCATGAGCTAATCAGTCAAAAATGCACTACAGTTATTTCCAAGCTGGCTCTACACCTGGAGGCCAGCTTAGTCATCACCCCCATCTTGTCATCACTATGAGAATTTTTGAGTGACTGCCTAAGACAGGAGCCACAGGATTTCAAAAGACCAAGATTCAGACTGATAAACTGCTAAACTCTACTATCTGATAAAGGGTTTGGCATTATTTAGATCCATTTAACTTGGGGAAACTATTTAAGATTAACTGTGACTGAATCTCACCCATTTCAATAAGTTGCTGAATCCATTAAAAAAATTCTTAGAATTAATATGTGCTCTCATTTTCCACATGTAATTACTGCCAGCCCATGTATTAAGTTCCTTCTGCCTCATCAGCCTGGAGATAAAGTGAGGTCACATAACAAAAATTCCCTACTAACAGAGGTCTCTCCCCAGTATTTCAGGTAGTCCTTGGGGCAACTCTCCATGGGCACCCCTCCCCTCACAAAATCAACTCAAGTTCTTCCACTGCAGCCTCTTAATGATGCCTGCCATTCAAGAAGCCATTTGGAGGACACTGAGCACCACCTGCCTAGGCCATCCATGAGGTGCCCAGATGTCTCTGCTTTCCCGTCAGCCCTCTGACCTCAGAGGTGCACAGTGCCTTCCTTGTTCACCCAGGAGCGAATCTCTCCTACCTCACTCTAGGTTAAGGGCGAATATGTGATTTACTTTAACTTAAACAGCTCTAAGACCAAGAGTTGGCACTTAACCGACTAAGCCACCCGGCAACCCCTCCCCAAAATAAATTTTAAAAGACTCCGCAAGATGGCAAGTCCAATCTCAGCTCACTGTTATCAACTTACTACCCTAATGAAAAAAAATAAAAAGAGGATAACCTTTTCTCTGCCAAGGCCAATTAATAAGTTTGTCTATTATGGATGTATAGAAAGAAATCTTGATTATTACTCTTCTCTTTGTCATTAAATATTGATAACTGCATCTGCCCTGTATCTGGAAAAATTTACAACAAAGCAATATTAGTGAAATAATGTCTATACAGCACTACTGAGCCCTGGGAAAAAGGGAATTGCATTAATAGTAATAATAATGTTGTCTTCAAAAGAGACATTGAAATGGGGAATAACATATTCCTACCAGAAAGCCATCCATGAAATTTCTTTAATATTGACTATTTTAAAAGAATATATCAGCCACATTTATTAACATTTACTGATTGTGGGTAGTCCATAAAAAACTAATGATTGCATTCTAATAGTTAAGTGTATATGTTTAATAAAAGACTCTCATCTTTGAAGAAAGTTTTCAATAACGGACTATACAGTAAGCTGCTGAAGCAGAAAACTTTTAGGCATAGATCAGGACACAATTATACCCACAACTTAAAAAGAAAATAGTTCTAGTGGAAACCTAACAAAGATCTTACTTTGCTTTCTATTGGCATTCAAAATAATTCCATGACATTTGGTTAAATGTTAAATAATCAGACTACCAAGTTTAAGTTTGTTCCGTGAATCTGGACTGCCCCTAACGGGCAGAGAAAACAATGACATTAGGCAAACATAAATCATAGGACTTTGCACATTTTGGTTGCTCAATGGATATTTGTTGATTCGATAACCTTGAAGTGTCCCCAACCAGACAGGCCATGTCACATCTCTTGAGATATGATCCTGAATTTAGGCTAAAAACTACGGATATCATTACTGAGAATGGAGGAGTCATGCAATTTCTCAGACTGCTTTTCTAGGCTCAACAAGAAGTTTCACAGGAAAGGATCTCAGTTCTGAAGCGGGGGAGAAGAAGGATAAGTGATAACATGAAGTCTGTGAATAATAGGACAATTCAGTTTGAATCCAAATCAGAACAGCATGCTGTGGAATTGGCGCTCTTAATGTGAGCTCCCATGAGGTCCGTGGAAGGGTCAGGGTTATCAGGCAGGATACATCAGACTCCTGCCAACATCGTCTTTCCTCCTCTTCCTAACTTTCCTGACTTTCTCAATGCCTGAAAATCTACCATTAGAGTATCACCTATGTAGGTCATGAAGCCTTTTTGGTCTTCTCGAATTTTGCATCAAAATGAAAATCACCCCTGGGAAGATTAGATATTTCATCCAACATTTCCAAAAATATATACATTTCCAGTCCCTCAAGATGCATCATGATAAAGACAAACAAACAAAACACACACACACACACAAAACCTCTGTGGTCAAAGAAATTTGGTAAATCCTCCATACTTTAACTCTTCAAGATTCATAATGCCAAGGAACATATTAAATAAAGGCTCTGAAATATATTGCAAAGAAAAATTCATAATTCTAGTATTTGTGAAAATATTTGGTCAAGAAAATAATTTGGAATGCTCTTCAGCATCTAGAATATGGTGACATCAACTCACAGTGAATCATCAGGGTCTGAAAACATGGAAAACGTGATCAGCAGCTAGGGAGCCAGAAATAGTTACTGGGTGACTGGACTCATTGTCATTGCAGGTATTCATTGATTATTAAATAATATCATCAGCATCACTATTTTTCTAAATTTTGTTGGCTCCATAGAGTAGTATATATCGTGACCCATACATTTAAGAATTTACCATATCCAGGACGCTGGAGTGGCTCAGTCGGTTAAGTGTCTGCCTTCGGCTCAGGTCATGATCCCGGGATCCTGGGATCGAGTCCCGCGTGGGGCTCCTTGCTCAGCAGGGAGCCTGCTTCTCCCTCTGCCCCTCCCCGATGCTTATGTGCTCTCTCTCTCTCTGACAAATAAATAAATAAAATCTTTAAAAAAAAAGAATGTATCATATCCATCATTAGAAAAATAAGATAGGCCCCACATGAGAAATTAATGAACATAAATGCATACATACACACAGCATTTTACATATAGTGTCAGGGCTTCTGAGGAGTTAAGATACATCCTTTACACTTAACCTCAGTTCAAATATCTGTGAAGACTTTAGTATGACTTAGGCTGAATCAATCACCCACTCAATATTTTGATAACACTTAATTTGTATCTCTTCTTTGTTACTGTAATGATAGCATTTCTCTCTTTACTAGGTAGTGACCTCTCTCTTTCTTTCCCTTGAGTAACAAGCACAGAGCAAAAAACTGAGCCAATGTACTTTGTATTTAGGAATTGATTGAATAACTGAATGAATTAGACTGGACTGGAAAATTCTGTGGGAATGAGGCTCATTTCTATTTTTATTAGTTACTGTATGCCCAGCTCTTAACACAATGCCTGCCACATGGGGATTTTGTAAATATTTGTTGCATAAACGTTGGATGACTTGGTTCTATTTATTCAAGTGCCTGATGTTTAGAACTCTTATGAGACTTTGCAAACAAATATGGTGCATTTTGAACCAACTTAATCTTGGATGCAAAAATGTCAGTAGATCCTTCTATCTATTCTAACCTTCTATCATTGACCTGGCTGAATATTTCGTGGAACTGTGCTGAAGCCTGAAGCTCTTCATATCCAACTCTTTCCTTTTCTGTATCCTTCACAGGAGTCAGACCAGCATTGTGATCTGGAGGGCTTCCTTGCCTTCTCCAGATCTTTCTCTTTATCCTTCCCTTTATCTTTCTTGGGCATTTCTCCTGATACATTTCTTACACATCTAATCCTGACTTGGTGTCTGCTCAGAGGACCCCAATGAACACAGATAGCCAACTATGACACAGTCTCCATTCTAAGACTCCATCCTATTGAGCTTTTAGGTGAAGTCTTTATCACGAGCATCCAAACCCTCCACAATTACACAAATGGGAAGGATACTCCATCCCCCAACACTACCACTCTCTTGGTATTGAATGTCAGGGCTAAAGCTTCCCTTCTTCCTGAAGGAGATTTGATTTGGAAAGGACACCGGTCATAATGGAGGGCCCACCCTAATGACCTCATTTTTACTTAATTACATCTGCAAAGCCTCTATTTCCAAATAAGGTCACTGATACCTAGGATTAGGGCTTCAATATGTCTTTTTGAGACAGACAATGTAATCTGAAGGGCACATTTCTTTGAACAGAAAAATGAAAAACTACGTAATTAAGATTTCTCAGCGACTTGGTAAATAGGAAAGAAAGACTTTTACTTTTAGTTAGTGAATTATGCTGCTGCTTGTTCTGTGTCCTTAACTTATGTCTGGTGTGTCCATGTCCTTTGCATCTTCAGATGCACCCAGCTCTTTGGATTGCTGCTGAATATTGCCGGATGGGAAATGAAACCAACTTGAGTTTTCTAAATGTTAGCCTGTGAATGATATGACTTGATAGGCACATTTATTACCACTGGTAAAAGCACTGCTGGTTTAAGTAGTGACCTTTCCAGCTGAAATTAACTGGATCTTCTCAATGGCACTACTTGTACATGAGTATACTTTCCTGATTTAGAGAAAACAGAATAAAGAAATCGCCAAATCAGCTAGAAAGGATTTCATGAAGTACTTTCTAGATAATAAATCACAGCACACAAAAATTTCACATATATATGAGAAAACATTTTTAGCAGCTTCCAAATTCCTGCCTATCCCATCTGCTGCAGGAAAGTGGCTGAACTAGGATGGGAAATTTAGCAAATATCATGAATGGGCTCTTCAAAACCATTCAGAGCAACCTTTCTCCCTGACTTCATTATAGAGGCTGTGAAAGCTAAGAATTTGAACTCTTACCTTCTTTTGTGACTAGAGGCAGCCATGTAACACACTTCTGGCCTATAATACGTAGGTCCACTCACTGGGGATGGCATTCATTCTCAATAAAAAGACAACTGCTTTAAGAGGAGTGTTCTGGCATCTCATTGCCTGTCAGTCTCTCATCATCCTGCCGGGAATGTATATGTAATAGTTGGAACGCAGCAACTATCTTACCACCATGAGTTCAAAGTTCTTATTGAAATGGTGGAGTAAGACCATTGGAATAAAAAGCATTGAACTTGGATTTTAATATTAGATTGTCTAATTATTGAACTTGAACTTAGCTTCTATGGCAGTGATTATCAACAAGGAGCTCTTTTGCCTGCCAGGTGACATTTGGCAATGTCTGGAAACATTTTCGGTTGCCCCACCTGTATGAGAGGGAAGCTACTGGCATCTGGTTGGGTAGAAACTAGGGTTGCTGCTAAATATTCTACAATATACAAGACAGCTCCCAACAACAAGGAATTATCCAGCTTTAAATGTTAATAGTGCTGAGACTCAGAAACTCTAGTCAGTAGGTCTCAATTTCTTTAATGTTAAATACGGAACTTTTTAAAAAATGACATCTGTGGGTTCCTTAAAAAATAGAAGGTAGTCTGTATATTCCTGACAAGACAATACTTGAGTTATAGTGTACCCACTTGACACTGATTTAAGCTGTTTTTTAACATAATAGTTATAAAGGCTAAGTAACAATAGCAAAGGTTGCACATTATTAAGTGAAAAAAATTAATATGCAGAAGTGTAGGTGTTGAGTGATTACTTCCATTGTAAAAAGAAAGTGAATGTAAGTGATTATAGCAAAGTAATATAGTGGTTGTACTGAGGATTTTGAGTTCTTTTCTATTTTGCAAAAGTTATTCAATGTGATTGTGTTATTTTTATAATTTGAAAAATAATTTTTAAAATAATGAATGGGAAGAAAGATTAAAATACCCGAATAGTGTTGATTTCTCTGATATTTGTGAAATTTCTTCCTAGCCTCATAGAAACCCTATACAGGGTAATGAAATATTTTATGCAATTGAATACCATTTACACTGATTCAGCATGTCAGCAACATTCTTTTTCTCGTTCTTGATGTTTCCCTAAATGTGGGATTACTAGAGTTTAATTCATAGGACTATTCCCCTCCAGGGTTTTGTGAGAGCATCAGAATTACCTGCAACATTGAAGTGATTGTGTGAAAATTTGTCACTGCAAAGGCTTATATTTGTTTTAGATTCCTATCGCTGCTGAAACAGATTACCGCACGGGGGTGGCTTAAAACCACAGAAATTTATTCTCTTCCAGCTGGGGAGGCCAGACGTCCAAAGCAAACATCAATGAGCTAAAATGAAGGTGTCGTCAGGGCGGCACTCCCTCTGGAGGCTCTAGGGAGAAATCCTTGCCTCTTCAGTTCGTGGTGCCTGCAGGCTTGCTTTGGCTTATGCCCCCTTCACTCCAACCTCTGCCTCTGTCTTCAGATGTTTTTCTCCTCTGTGTGTTTCTCAAGCTTCCTCTGAATTTTTTTCTATAAAGATACACATGATGGCATTTAGGGCCCATCTAGACAACGCAGGATAATCTCTCCATCTCAAAATTGTTAACATAATTACACGTTTAAAGGCTCTTTTGCTAAATAAACGTTCCAGAGATTAGGATATGTTATCTTTGGAAGCCGTTGTTCAAGCTACTAGAATATTATATAAAGAAAATATAAATCTAATTGCTAATCTCATCTGAAAATCTGAATTTCCATTTATACGTAGCAAGGACTTAAAATCTGGCACCATCATCCAAGATCTTAATCCTAGGAAGGTCAAGTGAGAGTAAGGAACGTATTATTCCTACTAAATGAGAAAAGCATGAGATGATACATTTTAGGGAAACAAATATTTTAAACACATCAATGTAAAATTTTTCTTAAATGTTAGTTGATCAATAAAATTTGTTTTACCTATATCAACATTTGAATACATGATGGCCCCTTACATCTAAAAATAGAATGCTTAACATTGTTTCACCCTATTTCAACAACTGTGAAGCTTTCTAAAAACTAATTTGAGGAATTAACCTTAACATCATAGTTCGGTAAACATAAGACTGTGAAATTACTAAAAAGGCAGGACTGTACTTAGCTTGAGTTGGCTAAGAAGCTGAAAATATCTTTAACTCTCCAATTAAAAGATATTTTAGCAAAATTATGAGAGTGCACAAATAATTAAAGCCCTGGAGCTTTCATTTCTTTTCCCCATTTGGTTATTTTAATTCTTTAGATTTAATTTCAAAATAACTCTGTCAAAGGCTTAAATTTGGAAGTAATTACATATGATAACTGTTTTTACATTTCTGTTTTGAGCCAGGAATGATTCTAAATAATTCTAAATCTAAACATTAATTTCTATATTACTTGGAATATTTTTGATATTGGAGTTTAAGAGCCTTTAATGCTACTCAATACGATGCAATTAATCAGTAAAACCTACTCCAATTATTTCCAAAGTCAATATTAAGGAAGCTACCTGCTGAACTTTACATAAATCAATAGAATTACCTCCTAAGTTAGGCAAATCACGATCCAACTTTATTACAATTAAGACTATGAGTATGAAGGAGCGCCTGGGTGGCTCAGTCAGTTACGCATCTGCCTTCAGCTCAGGTCATGATCCTAGGGTCTTGGGTTTGAGCCCCGTGTCAGGCTCCCTGCTCAGTGGGGAGTCTACTTCTGTCTCTCCCTCTGCCCCTACCCCCGGCCCCCACTCATCTCTCTCTCTCAAATAAATAAATAAATAAAATCTTTAAAAAAGAAAAAAAGGCTGAGTATGCCACGTAACAGGAGAAAAAAAATTCCCTTGGAACAAGATAGAGTTCATGTGAAGCTAGAGTCATGTCTTTTTTCTCTTTCAAGAAAAGACAAAAGGCTTAAGTGACGTATTTTTTTAAAGATATATTTAATATTTGTTCTCCATGAAATAAAGTTTCAAGAATTGGAAGTTTCAAAAACAGTCTTTCAGATCCCCTAAGTGGTAAGAGACTATAAAGGCTAATATATGTCTATACCCATGCTCCTCCCTGTTTCCAAGCCTGTCCCTTAAAGGACGACGTCCTATGTTCTGTCCCCAAACACTTGCTTAGTGGTAGATTTCTGTCACTACTTCCTTTTCCATTTCTCCCATTTATTCTTTAAACCCTCTATAGTGGGTGTACAATATCTGCTCAGGTCCTTGTTTTCACTTTGTTTGGGCATATACCCAGAAGTATAATTGCTGGCTCATATGATAATTCTAGTTTTCATTTTTTGAGTAATCACCATACTGTTTCCTACAGCAGCTGCTCATTTTACATTCCCACCACCAATAGACAAGGATTCCAATTTCTCCACATCCTCACCAACACTTGTTATTTTTTTATAATAGCCACCCTAATGGGTATGAAGTGGTATCTCATTGTGGTTTTGATGTAGTGATATCGAGCATCATTTTTTGTGCTTAGTGGCCAATCATTTGTCTTCTTTGAAGAAATGTCTATTCAAGCCCTTTGCCCATTTTTTAATTGAGTCATTTAATCAAGTCATTTAGTCCAGTTGCTGTTGAGCTGTAGGAGTTTTTTATATATATTCTGTGTTCTTTATAAATGTTCTCAGCAGATATATGATTTGTAAATATTTTCTCCCATCCCATAGGTTGCCTTTCACTCTGTTGATAGTGTCGTTTGGTGTATAAAAGTAACATGACATTATTTTAAGCACAATTTATTAATCTTCATAACTCTATGAGGTAGGTACTATTATTATTAACCACACTTTGCATATAAGGATACTAAAACATAGAGGATTTAAGTAATGAACCAACTTCCCATGGTAATGACTGAGCTTAGATTTTTTTAAAATTTTATTTATTTATTTGAGAGAGAGTGAACACAGAGGAAGAG